TGTGTGTGTGTGTGTGTGTGTGTGTGTGTGTGTGTGTGTGTGTGTGTGTGAAGTGGAGAAGAGGGCGGCAGAGACAGGCTAACGTGCCAGCGAGTGAGGGAAGCAGACGCTGAGGTAGTAGTGGGGTCAACGTCGATTTCACGACGGCACGTGCAGCCACGTAAGAGCGACCTTGGGGGTCAGTGCCCCCTCTTTTTCCTTCTACCGCGCGCATTAAGCTTTATATATCGAAGAATAACTCTGTATGTGTGCTCTGTATGTATTTGTATTTTACCTCTGTACATCGACGCGAATTGGGGGAGATGTGGCCGGGCCAGAGGTTGGGAATAGGCGCATTAACTCTCGACGAAACTATTGAGCGCTATATACTGCCCCCCCCCCCCTAATAGCCGCATATTTAGTCGCTGACGGTGGTTAGAGATCAAGGAAGAATGAGAAAGCGCGTTCGATAATACTAATCAGCAGTGGAAATATTCTGTATAAATTTGCACTTGAGCATGAAGTTAAAATTCACGATTTTGTAATTTCAGGTTACCAAAAATGATTACACTTGGCTCCAAATTCCGTCGAATTGATGAATGGCAAAAGTCACCTCGAAATAATCGAAGTGACCCTTTCAAAGATACGAATGAAATTTTAAGAAACGATGTCGTAACATCCGTCACTCACATCAAGTATCAGCTATCTTCACGTGTCATTAACAAGGTATTTATCAGTTACTCGTTTTAACCTTACATCATCGAAATAAGATACACCAACTTCGATGGAATGAAAAATTTTATTCCTCATTAAATTGTACTACTGCATTGAAATTTCTTAAAATTCATGCATCGTTCTCCTCTTCTATTCCAGTACATAGACACATCCAAATACCCACAAATATATATGTTCTCGAGTGGCGTTTATAGGAAAAAAGAAACGAAGCCATAAATCACTGATGTTTTAGATTAGCCCACGCCGTGTGTGCGAACTCGTGACGTCTTTTCCCCGACGGGTTCAATCCAGTTAGCAGTTACGAAAGTAGGTGCCGTCCGTCATGATCTTTGTCGTGGGTGGGTGGACGAAAAAAAAAAAAAGG